AACCTATCTATCTATCTATCTATCTATCTATCTATCTATCTATAATTATTATGCATTTGTGCTTGTATTAATCTGGCAAATATCTATCACATATCTTTTATGTTTGTATTTATACTTAATACAGTTCGTTGACAAAGTGTTATTTGACCAACAATGGCCAATGACTTTCAGTTGATGTTAATGCACCGATCATTCGTTTCATCGAAAGGGGGTCCAGTTAGTACTTAATAAAGTTCTTTAACAAAGTGTTACAAAGGGCAATAAAACTAGGCTAAAGGTCACTCACGCGGGTCAGGGTCGCCATCATTCCCTCCCTTGTCGCCAGGACTGTCTCCCGAGCCAGATATCATTGGGAGAACCACGCCCACCTGAAATGTGACAGTTTTAGATTGCAGCATTCGTTGTAGCAAATTGCAGAAGACAGCTTATGACAAAAATATACAAAAGGAACAGGAAAATTTCTTCGGACACACAATGCAGAAAGAAGCATTGGAGAATATTGTAACAACAGGCATGTTTGATGGAAAGAGAGGCAGAGGCAGACATAGGGAAAGTATACTGGACAAGATGACAACATGGCTGGGAGCAGCAAGAACAACAGACGCCATTGCTGCAACGCAAGACAGAGTGAAGTGGAGGTCCATGATTTCCCACTCCAGTCGGCAAGGCACCGGATGATGATAATGATGATGATGTTGATGATGATGGTGATGATGATGATGATGATGATGATGATGATGATGATGATGATGATGATGATGATGATGATGATGATGATAATGATGACAATAGAAACAACAACAAAAAACCCCAAAAACTTTTAAAAAATACATTCTACTCCTTTGTGACACTCAATTTGATTATAATTATTTTGTTATTTTTGGGTAAAAAATATCTAAACTGTATACTTAATAATAACAAGACCCCCTTTGGAATCTTACCTCTTTCTCTCCTAACTGTTCCTTTTTGGAGGGATCTGTTGGCGACTCCATCTGTTTGTCAGGGTTCTCTGCCTTGTCCATAGGTCTGCTGGACATTGAAATGCCCGCTTCCGGATCGTGTTCCTGCAGAGCAACAAAGCAGTAAATTCGATCAAATCAGCCAATTCTGTCAGATGTCGTTTAGGAGGGGTTTCATAGGGATGTTCCTTGTGGCGTCGGTGGTCTAGTGGTTAGGCTACCGGACTCGTAATCGTGAGGTTGCGGGGTCGGGGGTTCGAGCCACGGGCCCGACGTTGTGTCCTTGTGAAAGGGACTCAACACGAATTTCCAAGGTGGAAATGGGTACCCGGCCATAGACAGCGAAAGATCTTGTCAGGATGTTACTGTTTTAGCGCCTATAAATGGCTGCTTGCACTGTATGCTTCCCAGGAAGTTGGGGTTGTTTCAGAATGCTCTCAGATCTGCTGGGTTATAGTATAGATTGTAAAGCGCATAGAGCTTGCTGTTGAGCGGGGATTTGCGCTATACAAATGCCCTCTATTATTATTATTGGAGGACGTGTGTTGTAATTTGTCAGTACAGTTGATTCAACATGTTTTTCAGAACATAAATAATAATGCATCTTTTCGAAGTTGGGGGAAGATTAGAGGAATCCCACTCGGAGAGATGCACCTGTTTACAACCAAAAACAAAACTTTACTATAATAGGACATGGCAACATCTTTCTAATGCACTAGTCTTTAGCACTAAGCGTACAGAAAGAAAAACAAGAGTCTATAATTTTCATGCCGTCATTGGTATGTTAGTTTGTTGTGCTCCTTTGTATGTACCGTTCCATGTTCTGTGCTCTGCAGTGAAGTAGTTCCACACATACGTTTCGGCTCCCAACATACGCCCTATTGGGCACCTTCTCTGGTAAGTAACAGACGGGCAGACAGACAAGCAGACAGATAGACAGACTGACAGGCAAACAGATTGACCGACCAACAGGTAGACAGACAGATTGACAGAAAAATAGACAGACTGACAGACACACAGACAGACGGACAGACAGGTCTGTGTTTCTGCCGTGAGGGATTTACCTACATGCGTTTGAGCTCAAAAAAGATACGCCTGACTGGGCACCTTCCCTGGTCTACGTAATTGGTTGATTACCTCAGACCAATCAACCGTCAGCTGTTTTTTAGTCTCTGATTGGTCAACCTTAGATAGTTACTGATTCATGGCAGACCCTGTGGATTTTCGTTCAGAAATAGCGAAGACAATGGCATTAAAAAGCCATCTTTTGTGCGTTATTCATTTTATTTCATTTTTTAAAATTCCTTTATTTTATTTTATTTTATTATATTACTTTTTTTTGGAGGGGGGGGGGGATGAGGGGTTCGAAATGATAGCAAAAGCTAACTTATTTCTCATGATACATCGAAAATATAATATGTACGCAGTATTTCGGTAGACGCCAGTGATTTATGAACAGAAGTTTTGCTTGGTTATTCTGCAGAAGAATAACACAAGAGACAGCCAAGATAATTAATGTAAACGTGTGTAAAGTATTGACTTACCTCTACTCTGTGGTAAAACATTTTTAGTTAGAGTTTTATGACACTTGCAACACTTTTAGGTCATATAAGTTCCGTTGTAGAATATTGTGGGATTCTAAAGAATACTATAACTATTTTATTCTCGTGATGATCACTTCCCGGGACAGAAATGAACGACTTTCTGAGTCAAACAATAACCCATAGTAATTTATGTGCGGTCAGGCAAGGCAGACTTTAAACGCCCAATTTCGGAATAACTGTAACTACTTGTAAATTAAGGTCAACGGGTCTTTTACGGTCTCTCCAATTTCAAATGAAAGGTATCATACCACAATCATCAACAGGGTTGCATGCAATGCCGCCATTATAACCACAACTTTGGTTTTTAAAAACTTCCGCAGAGAACTTCCCTTCTTTTGAGTTGGAAATTACAAATCTAAAATCTTCCTTGTAAACAGCTCTAAGCATTAGTTGAAGTATCTGATAATTTCTATGAGCCGTGTATTCAATTCTTTTATCTTCACAACAGACACCACAAAACATAAATAGCTACAAATTTGTATGTAAATGAGTAGATTCTTGAATTGAGAGATGCATTTGATGGTGTTTACGTCGAATCTTATAACATGTTATGAATTGAAACAAGCAGTGCTGAACAGAAAAAAAAGAGAACGATCGTGAGTGTTTTTATTTGAACACGCTTATATCGGGAGAGGAAAGAGATATTATATTGACAATTAAACATGTTTGAAGACAAGCAACATTTTCCGGACAAATTCTTGTATTAATTTATGTGGTTTTGCTCCTTAATTTTGAGTACATTCTCATGAAAGAAGGAATGCTGGGTTAATGTGAGGGCAACAATCAGACTTTCTTAAAGAATTGTGGTTTGAGAGTAAGGCAATGTTGAAGTGGGATGGGAAAGAGTTGGGGGGGGGGGGGTTGCGGTTTGTGAAGAATTAATTACAAAGAAATTACAACAATCTGTGTAAAAAAGAGTTTTGACAAATCATCGTCATTTGCGGAACGCACAGCCATTGAGTGTGTTACCGTTAATTTAGAGAGAAAAGGAGAATTCAATTCCGGAAGCATCAAGTTTTTGATCAAATAAGTAATCTCGCCTATGATAACTAGCACTGGAGACCAGAATTACCAAGCATGAACTAGTCACCTGTACAAGCAAGTCCTATGAGAATATCCATATCGTAATGATGATAATATACAAAAATAATAATTAAAAGCATTTGTATTGCGCATCTGCTCAACATAAACTATGCGCTTTGCAATCTATTAAAAAATAACCCAGATCCCTTCTCGACTTTCTGAGAAGCATACAGTGCAAACAGCCGATTGAGCGCTCACACCCAAGAAATTGCCAAGGCCTTTTACCATCTATGGCAAATTACACATTTCCGCAAGGGTGAAGTGAGGAAAAAAACATTTTAAGTGCGATTTTCAAGAAGCCAGCGTTCTCGCTTATATCTATCTGAAATTAACGCTTTCCAGGATGCTGCCGATAATGAATCAGAATGCTTTGCATTTGTAGGGATTAAAATAATGCATCATATGGTCAACTTGAGAGTAGGGATAAACGCTATGTATTTTTTAAATACATGTATGTTTATCTATCATGAATTTATCGTTAGGCTTATTTATGATCATAAACTGTAGGTAATGAATACATGCGAACTACCACAACCTTGAACAAACCACATTTTACTGAACATTCCGTTTAAAATAACTTGTACAATGTTATACTTACAGTATATACACTTTAATATGAATGATCCCAGCAGAGAGGAGACAAAACAAATGGTAGAAAAATCAACTAGGCTGAATGGCCAGTAAATCCCTGCTTTGGTCCGTTCAATTCTCCACTCCCTCCTGCCGACACAGACACCCAATTACAGCCCCCACCTGTCCTGTATGGTCCGGCACCTGTCTTATGTGGTCCGGGTTCCAACTTGATGAATGCTTTCCTATGCCTCAATTAATACAGTTCGTGACAGAGGTATCTAAAACTTACATTCACATAACTAAATAATGGCCACCCGAGTGGCTCAATTTATTTCTTTTTCTTTCTGGACATCTGAATCGTGCCTCTGTGCTCTCTATGAGGTGGAATGGAAGCACTCAAGATCTTCTCAGCTTTTCTAATTAAAGACAGAATGATATGGGTAATGATAATAATATGTTTACGTGATGCAAAGTTATCATTTTAAAAAAGCAACGCTTTTACTTTAGGATCGTTGGAAGACTCGTATGTGAATCATGAATTACTCTCGGCAACAGGCAAGGGGTTATTTTCTCTTTTCTTTTATGTGTCTAAATCTGGTACTAAAAACGATACTGAGCCCCGAAAAGATCTAAAGAAAAATATTTTCAGAGAATTCAGATGTCCTCTTTGAGAGTTTGGAAATTAAGAATTCAGTTATTGTGTTTCCCACGTCGTATTATAATCATCAGCAACAAGTTGTTCAAAACTGACCTTTTGCTTCCTTCGGTGAATCTTGTTATCCGCACTTCAGTTACAAGGAATAATGGAAAAAAAGTGCTTACGTTACAAATTAGTTTTTATTTAGTATGTTTATAGATATTTTGTATATCAATAAGAACTTATTTCAAAAGAGAACTATTCTGATTTATGTTCCAATATAGGGTTTTTATTATAATTGCTATTAGAAATGCGATAGTCGTAAACTATCTTTATTTTTTCTGTTGTAAGGTTGTTCTTTGCTTCATCACTTTCTACTACGTAAAAAGCCTTGTTCACCCCCCAAAAAAAATGCTACAACAGAGGTATGAACAGGCTCACTTCCTCCTCTGACCCGGGGCAGATCTCGCTGCGCTTTGTCCTTTATTGGTATTTAGATAAAAACTTTTGTTATGTCCAGAAAAGTAAGTCAAGGGAATTGCATTTTGTTTTCAGTTCATAGAACAAATTTTGGTAGATTCGTAGGTGACCATTTCGTGATCGGATGAAGATTTTTATATTCTCAATACTTACAACTTAAACGAAAAGGAGAAAAAAAAGTTGTTGTTTTTTCGCGACAAGACGCCATTTCGCACAACTGATAGGAAAGTTACAAAAAAAGAAAATAAATACGTGTTTTCTAATAAAACGATTATCAACTTTGAAAGAGACTGAAAATGTTCTAACTTTTTCGGTCTGTTTCCCCGCATTCGTAACGTGATACCCTCGAAGTCACTCTCTCTCTCGCCTTCAGTCCTTCCACCAAACCTCTCCTCTCACACAGAATTTCAAGCACTAACTGCTGCTGGCTTCAGGAAAGAACTCACCACCTCAGGAGGTTAAGAAAGAGGAAGGGGAAAGGTCACCATTTTGCCATCTTTGATATGGAAAACGAACAAAATGAGATGCTTCTTGATAAACAAAGAAAATGTCTGAGGGGCTTAAGATCTTTCAGTTAGATTGATATGTGATGAATTTATTTGTAAACGTACGCAAATCAAAATGAATGTACTACTACTACTACTACTACTACTACTACTACTACTACTACTACTACTACTACTGCTACTACTGCTACTACTATTACTACTACTACTACTTTCTTTGAA